GCTCCTTAACTGTTTGCATCACCCAGGGACGCCACCCTATGACAGATGACACGCGTGGGTCGTTGTGACTCAGAGTGCCAACGAGATGGGACAGTGTGGAACCACCCAGATGGTCCCCAAGGTTGTCCATTTTTTAGGGGACAATTGTGGGGACAGCAGTGTTTCATTTTGTTGTTTGGTTGTACAGAGTCCTGTGAGTCAGAACGGGCTCGACAGCACTTACCAACAACAACAACAACAATCGATAAACACTGGCCGCCAAATCATTCAGCTGATGGCTGGCGGGTTTGAACCTCGGAGCGTTCAATTAGCAGCTGAGCCCTTAAACCATGGTACTGCCGTACAGGACACCCTAAATGACGTCGTAGGGGAATTAAAAAGCTCCGCACCTCGTGATTTCCCTTCAGAGTCCTAAGAAGGAAATGTCCTTTCCGCAGAGCTTTTATTGTTTTTTAGTGAGTACTTGAAATTTCTGAACTATGTGGAGTTGGAAGTGGGGCTTCCACAAGTTGGTGGGAAAGTGACATTAAGACATCTTGGAATTTCCCCCACCAGCTTCTTGCAGCCCTCTGTGTCTGCCTATTTGTACACGCATGTTTTAGTCATTGATCATTGTGAAAACTCCCCAACCAGCCACGACAGATAAGGAGGGTGATGCTGTTTGCACAGGTCAAAGACTGACCGCCACTGGTGCCACGGAGTGGGACGTGGACACGTGGATTGGTATTCTGTTCAGCTGTGTATGTTCTCAGCAATGTGCAGAACAAAGTAATTGTTTCACCAAAGAAGAATTGCAGGATGGTGTGGCCAAGGAGCCAAAGACATTTTCCAGGCCAGCAAACATAGATCATGTATGACAGTGGGTCATCCGAAGATCATGGAATTTCCCCCACCAACTTCCTGCACTCCCTGTGTCTGCCTATTTGTAGGCGCATCTTTTAGTCATTTATCATTTCTTGTCTTTTCCACTTCTATGGCTATTGAGTTGTTCACATTTTCTCAATTATTAACAAAAGTTTATAATGGAGACTTGTGGTGGTGAAACAGCAAAATATAGCCCATCTCAACAATGTCTCCGTGCACAGTTCAGTGACATTAGATCCTCACAGTTGTGTCTCCCCTCAGACAGATTCAATGACCCCTGAGCAAAACTCCTTCCTTTAAGACTAATTGTTAATCAGG